AGTTACTCAGCTACAAAGAGGAGAAAAATACAAAGAAAATCAGAAATACTAAAATCTATTGCAAAGAATTATTTTCACTTGCAAAAAATGGAAAAAAAATGATGCCGCAAGTGCTTCCCATTCCAGTTTCCCACGAGCTCTGCCCACGGGCATGCACCAGGGTCACGTTTACCCCACCATGAAGCAGCTGGCACCGCGGCTGCCTTCCCCCTGCAGAAATGCGGCTGGCCCCCCCCCCGCCACAAGATACCGTGGGTTTGGCAGGGAGATATCCATGCAGGCATTCTTCTGATCCAAGGCTAGCCTAAGTGGCGCTTGAAGAAGGGATTTATTTTCTCTCTCTCACCACAGCCATCTTAAACATCCCTCTTGGCTGGGCTCAGTGATCAGCAGAAAAGTGCACTGCCACTTCAGGCGGCATGGAGCTTAGAGAGGGTTGATGAGAAAGATGGGGACAAAGTTTTTAGTAGGGTCTGTAGCGATAGCACAAGGGGTAATGCTTTTAAACTAAAGGAGGGTAGATTCCAACTAGGTATAGTATTTTATAATGAGGGTGATGAAACACTGGAACAGGTAGTAGAGGCCTCATCCCTAGAGACAGTCAAGGTCAGCTTGGACGGGGCTCTTAGCAAACCTGATCTAGAGTTAGATTAGATGAGCTTTAAAGGTCCCTTCCAACCCAAACAATTCAATAACTCTATGAGCTATAGCTGGGCTGCTATGTATATTTATATAGAGAGCACTGACCTTGTGCTCTGCCTCCATGTCTCATGAAGCAAAGCCCAGCAAATCTGGATACACATCACAGAACAAGCCCTGTCTTGTTCCGCATCACCCCTTGTGATCCCCTTCACTGTAACTCTATCAAGTGACCAATTCAAGCTTAACCACAGAAAGGGCTACAGCTAAAATCTGAGAAATGGAAGTTTTAATATTCCTGCTTTATGAAATCCCTTTCTGGTGATCATCCTCAAACTATGATCCACTATATACCATGTTTGTTTTGCTTATGAAGTAAATCTTCAGAACATTTTTGAAGGTCTTAAGGTTTGATTCTGCACTAGAATTACGCCCTTTGTTGGCATATTGTTCTAGAAGATGACACTTTTTTGGGAATTGTTATTTCTGTGTTTCCAAGACGGTATTCGACATGTTGCCTCAGTCTTAGTCTGATTCCAATAGTTCCAGGAGAAGTAACCTGCAAAAAGCAGGCCTGAAAAATACAGCATAAAATACTGTTAGCTTCTGCTAAATAGTTAATTTATTTCCTTTTGCAGTTCTCCCAGTACATGTCACATTTCCCTTCAAACCGACACAAACCCTTTGGCTCTGCCTGAAGCTGCAGATGGCCCGTGAGCAGATTCAGCGCAGTGCCCTGAGCTGACCTACTGGTGACAAGCACTCTCTGCAGGCACCAACCAAGTAGAAGAGATGGTCTTTTTTTTAAGAAGGAATAACTCTAAAATAAGATTTAAAAAAAAAAAAGCTGCAATGAAGACTACAAGGTTTTGCTGCTTTGCTTTTAAATTGCAGTCTAACAACTGATAACACTGAACTATCTTTGCCGAGAATACTGGCATCCTCAAATGTGCTATACTGTTCTTACTTTACACCTTATATGCTTTATACCTCATTAGAGAAACTTTCAGTAAAATTATGGTTTTAATATTGTTATGCCTAACCACACCCTTCCACTTCTGAATTACTTTTTCTTCACCCATATTCCATGAAATATTTATTCAAACACATAAAGATGTTCAAAGTTTGGACTTCTGACTGGCTACAGATTGATGTCTTTTAACCTACCATTGATCTCCTAACAAATAGGCCAAGAAGATAAATATGTAGAGAGGAGAAAAACATAGGCAGGAAAAATCTGTCTGTAATAGGCAAAGAAGACAACTACTAATCTAGTCTTCCTGCATAATTTGTGTTTCAGAACTTCCGTACAATTTTAAATACCTTTGTAGAGTAGGGAGATAATTTTCAGCCAGGGAAACACAGTTTGAGAAATGCCCTCTGATCCCGGGGGGGAAATTCCTACTTATATAATTTACTTAATTGCTTGCATTTGCATATTTAGATGCTAATACATTAGGGCTACTAATTTTAGATTTCATCACAGCATTTTGTTGCTGATATTGTTGTAGTGTGGTATTTGGAAGAGCACTCCTGGGAGAGGAAAGAGCACCAAGCCTGGGTGTGCTGCAGTGATACTAGGTGATCAATCAGAAGTTCTCAGATGGAGAGGAAGTCTTTCAAATACAGGAACAAAATCACTTTGTTCTTGTGGCAACAAAAGTCTCTTGAGGAATGACTGATGTGGGGGATCTAGCTGTGTGATCCAGCCTTCTTCCCCAACAAGACAAAACAACTCGCGGACTGTGAATGGCCATGAGACAAAGGTCAGTCAGAGCCTTAGGCTTAATGCACAGCTGCATTTGTCTAAACCACAGCATTCTGAGGAACACGGGAGGATTTTTTCACCCTCTATGAATATAGCACTTTGGAGAGCTCCTCATGCATTTCCAAATACTTAAGAAATGCTACATAAAATCATACAGATGTTTTCAAAGTCCTGGCATGGGTATCAAAAGGTGCATTCCATGATTTTTAGACCATCATCACCAAATAGCAATTCTCTCATTGCTACATTAAATAATAGCAGTTCTGCCTTAGTTACATTTCTCTCTGTATTGAGCCCAAACCAGTATTGTTTTTAAATACACCTGCAGTACACTTTATTTTTTCCTTTCTTTCTCCAGGCTTTCAAAGCAAACAAAACAGTTCATTTTTCTCCATTACCACTGACTGCTTGCAAGTTGCTTTTCCAGAGTATTTCATGAAGGCTACAGATATTGCTCTCCAAACTATATTGTCAAATCTAAGAAGAAGAAAACACAAATAGGGGCAAGTGGAGACCCTTAGACACTGGTCTGAACTCCTTTAGGTCCTAGGAAATAAAATCAGTTTTGCCTTATCATTATGTTTTCTTTCTGGACCAGCCCGAAGGATTTCACACTATCTCAAAGCTGGTATTCAGAAGCCGTAAGACACAACAAAATAAAACACAACTGATCCTTGACAGTACAGGGCCTTCCATCCAATGAAGGATAAATCCCACACTATTATAAAATTTTATCTTTTAATGCTGTGAATTCTCTGTGCTACCAACCTCTGAATCAACAGAAAGTAAAAAAGAAAATCTTCTACAATAAGGTTGAGGTACAGAAGCTGTTATGAACATTTTCTCTGATCAACCAGCCCATGGCTGAGATGGTGTGGAAACAGAGTGCTCAATTAGGATTAAATACGGCTTTACAAAACAGCTGGGATGAACCCAGGTTTAAGCAGAGGTTTCATCCATTTGATCAAGTAGAAACCACTTCCAGGTGCTGGGACCACTGACACCAAACTGGCTGCATATGCTTACAACTATTCTTGGATCACGGGAAACTTCCTCTAGTATGTGCTTCCTCTTACCCATCCATTATAAGCAGAAAGGTGTGATTAAAGGGAGAAAGTAAGAGGAAAATACGAAGCTAAATCCCTAGACAAGACTAGCTATGTAAACCACTGGAAACACATCCCTGGTTCAGTCTCACATCTGATCTCAATTTTTCATCAATACTGAACAGAGGAATGAACAATGCAGCCTTTAGGTTCTTGTTATTTAAAGGTGCTTCAGAGCACTTAAAAAAATAATAAAAACACTAAAATAGTTCAAGTGGGGAAGAGACTGCCCATCGCTTCTTTTTTCCTACCTTCCATCAATGATGTGCTGCTGTGTGATGTAATGCCTGAGGAACAAGTTCCAATTGTATTTTAACTGAAAATATTCATAACTCATAATAAATATCTGTATGATGCAAAGAAGCTACCTGCTAATTTCTTATCTAATGTATCTTTCCCTCCAGTTTCTCACAGATTGCTACTGAGGTCCACACTGCTGTAGTTCTCAAAACTAAATCTAACACTCACTAAATGCTGACAGTGTAAATTATTCACTAATTAAAAATATCAGTAAGAGAGAGAGGCAAGTGTTTCAGGAAGAAGTGCTGAAGGGAAGAAAAACAAATCACTGCCTTGCATAATACGGGTATAAAACATATATAGCAATTGATTGATGTTCACCCTGAGCTGAACTACAGGACAAGGGGGGATTCAATTGAAATGAAAAGCAATCAGTTCAAATCCACAACCATACGATTTCACCAGAGTTAAAAAAAAAAAAAGATACAGAGTAATTACCAGCTAAATGGACTAAGTAGAAATTTCCAGAACGTTTATTAAATATCTTTACATTATCTTTATGTATCTGTCCAGTGGAGTCAAGATGCCTTGTATTTTTCTCTGAATGACGTAGTCCTTGCCCCTTCAGAGACGAGGACGTTGCACTGGGATGCACTGCCTCGCTTGTGGTGTGGAAGCACTGCTTCCAAAGTACGACATGCAACTTGGAGGTGCAGTGATAAAATCTGGCTGCAGAAATGTAAATACCAATGTTTTAAAGCTTACACATAGCTTATTGTAAGCTAAGCCAGTGAATTTTCATTTCAATTTTTTATTTTTAATTCACTGCACTTAAGTAAAATTATAGCCTATTTCAGAACTCTATCTAAGCAAAAAGTCTACCAAAGAGTTTATCACATTTCGGATCCGCATCTGTTGCAAAAGAGGCTTCCCAGCAATCCCTTAGGTGAATCACAGTATTTATCTATGCGAAAAAATAAGATGCTTACAAGAAAATTGTACATTTTAATAATATTTTTAATAATTTCCTGTTCCTCTTCACAACTTAACTGTTCACATTTCCTTTCTTTCCACCTCAGAATTTTTGACTGTAAAATTCCATGTAAAGACTTGTTTCTAAACAGTGTATTTTGCTTCCCAAAACCTGAAATTTGGGCACAACCGTGATTTCCAAGCATGCTCAAAGGACACCTTATTTCACTGTTCTACCTGAAACTAAGCTGAAGTAGCAAGCAGACCCCTCTTACCTGTTTGTGAGCATGATCATAAGAGTTAATGTGATTGTCAAACTCCTGGTGTTTATAGTACTGCTTGTCACAGAGTTCACAGTAGAAGTTGGCTTTAAGATCTTCCAGAGCTTTTGCTATCTTGTTTTTCTTTTCAGCATAATCCTGGAAGGGGGCGGGAAAAAGTAATTTTAGTTTTGCCTTTGATGCTGGGAATGGATTTTGTGCTCTGCAGTTAATCATATTTGTAAACGTTTACACATCTCCATAACTAAAAGCCTTCACATATTTGCTGCGTTACACTGCATACATTTACCGTGTCTGCTGTGAGGCTGAAGATTTGCACACTTCAATTTGCTATACAGTTGGCAGCTCCCCTTAGGAAGCTAGAGGGAGGCTGGAAGGATTTCCCCAGGTTCCATCCAAATACAAATATTTATTGTGCTCAAGGCCACTTTGTAGCTAGTTTTGGTCCAAGACTCGCTGCTCTAAAGCTCCGCTAGGTAATACGCCCAAGCACAGTAAGCATGAAGATACAAATTGCAGTAATTTATTTATCAAGCTTTTACAAGAAAGTGCGCTTACTAAAAAGAAAACAAAACTAAAGAAACCATACGGGGTCCTTCTTGAACACCTAAAAAACCATGAAAAAACACTTTCATAGCTGAGATGTAATAAGTATCTTCCATTGATTTGTTATTTGTCATCTAATATTAGAAGGACAGACACAGATCTCCGTTTACCATACATTAGCAAAAGCATTACAACCAACCTTGCTTATCATTTATGAGCAAATTATATACAAGTAGTACCTACTAATTTCTGAAATACATTGATGATAACATGGCCAATTCTGAAAGAGCACGGACATGGTCTGTCATCTCAAATCAGTTTAATACCAGTTAAACACTGAACATGCATAACTTCAGTGCAATGACTCATGCTTTTGAGAAGTCTGTCTAGGGTAGAATCACACCCTGAAATCCCAAATGTGGAAAATACTGTTTAAGGAAACACATCCCTAAGATTCGTTTCACAAGATTCCATCACCATGAGCTCTTTGGAAATGACCCTAAATTCCCCTTTTTCAGTCTTCTTCCTTATCTGGTTAGATTAAGATAGAAGATGATCTCATAATCAGACACTCAAAATTGAGTTAATTTGGAGGAAAAAAAGTCCCTTTTTGCCAGCAGTTGTCACAGCTTAGGACTCGTATACTTCCAATATATTTTGGAAGCTGAAAATGGAAAAATTGTTCTTATCAGATTAGAATATTCTCATAACAATTATGTTTATTTAAAAAGAGAGGAATAATAGTCATAGAATTATGATTATACCCACAAAGTGCTTAATTAAAATACTACTTAATATAAAATCCAGCATGACGGGACTGCTAGCAAACACCGTTTATTCATAACCAAACTGAGGCACTCCCTCATCAAAATTTTGTCCATTGAAAGAACATCAAAAGTCACTTCAGAGTGGCGTTTTGAATACTGTCTGACTTGTGAGGAATAAATTTCTAACATATTTCTTAAACAATGTTTCACAGAATCTGTTTTGTTTAAAAACTTACTAATGCAGGATAGCACCTTGAAAAAAGTCACATAACAGCACTGGGGTTTTGCAAACCATCCTGAAAGTTTTAAAAGAACTTTGAATTATGAATCAGTTTGGTAATGAAACTCAGAACTGAGCATTTGAGCAACATCTGCTTAATTTCTTTTTCCTGAAAGGCTTATTATCTGAAAGCCTACAGCTATAATTCACTGTAGCTATTTTTCATAATTGATATGTAACATCTCTAATAGGCGATCACATATATCAGCTGCCTTTATTTCTCTAAATCCGTCTTCACTATCCTCCAAAGCCTTAAGCATGGGCAAATGCTACTGCAAATGTCTGATAAATTGGATTAAGAGCGGGCTTCATCCACAGAGGGGCTACCTGTAACTACCTTGACTGGACTTTCTGCTCCCATTATACAAGGGAAAAAGAACAAAAGCTACAGAAATGCTTAAGCACTTTACACAGATAACTTTGGAGACATGAATTGATGCCTCAATCTAGTGGATACTTTTATGGAGTGCACTTCAGGCTCATACTCCTACTGTGCAGAAAGGTCAGATGGAAAAAAAAAAGAGTAATAGTGTGAAATTATAATACATCATCTACTCCATGGTGACTGCCAGTGTGAATATTCTTACTTTACAACAGATGTGAGCTCCTTTCATTGCAGTAAACTATTCTGTATTTATTGTAGTCTTAAAAGGGTCAGGCCTGCAGTCACTCCAAAATAAAATGTATTACAGAAGTAAACCCCTTATTCAGGATAATTTACTAGTATATTCATCCCAGAGAGGATTAGATTGCTCTGGTCTAATCCAAAGGATGAGACTACATAAGACCTGAAAGATGTTCCAGTGCAACCTTGGTTCACAAAAAAATTAAAGCATTTAAAGCATTTTTTTCTGTCCCAGAAACTGGAAAAAAAATGGCAAAATTGTACTTTGAACATTGTAAAACAAATCTCGAGCTAATACTCTTGATTTGGCAGAACTGTTCTATATATTAGCTGTATTCATATGAAAGAATCTGCCTGAAAATACACTGTTAGAAGGAGAGAGAAAGGGAGTGGAGGGGAGGTGAGGCAACAAAAAAATCCCAAAATTAAGGGAAAAATCAGCCACAGCTTAAGAGCACAATTCTCTCTAGTCAGTAAAACGTGACACATATGGACAATTAACAGTGGACTCCTTAATTTCTGATATATTTACTACGTATTTTAAAGACAGTATGAAGAAGCAGATTTAGCTGAATAAATGTAAAATTTACTAACATCTCCAATCCTATCAATCTTGTTATTGCTTGGTACATATAATTTTTAAAAATATCTTCGCTTATCACTTTTTTCCTCATGTAAGCAGTCTGCACATCATCCACTGATGCACTCGAATAAATAAAAAATAGAATACATTAACAATATTAATTCAGTCTAGTAGTAAATCTAATTATTTATAATGTTCTTGCGCTTATCAAGGCTGTGACACCAAAGCAAAAGGCAATTAGATGCATTGATTCAATTACTAATCGATCTTAACAAATCCATATCCAAGCAGCATATAATGAGTTTCGGTTTGGTATAATGTTTACAAGGAGACTGACTGGGAAAATAAGTATCAAGAATATTGTCAGATCTTTTTGATTACCTTACCTGAAACATTCCCATGAGCTGTGAGATGTGGTAACGACCTGACACTCACAAGGCCATGAACATCAGATGCTATTTCCTCGACTTCTTGTCCCCTTCTGTCATTCTCCTTTCAGGCAGGGGAGTCTCCCCCAGCAATGACCCCACTGTTTCACTGATTCCCCGCACTGGATGAGAGTGGGCCTAAGGATGAAGTCTTATCCTGAAGACTCCTATGTTAATGGGACAGCAGAGCTCGAAAGAAAACCCATCCTACCTTTACCTTCTCTTCAAGATTACCTGCAGACAGTTGTCTGTCCAACCAAAATGCTTATTACATACAGAGCTCATCAGTATTCTGCTATGTGCGTACTTGAAAATGTTATTGAAGACGTGCTAATAATTATAAAACTGGTTTCCTAGCTTCCTAATAAACACACATGGTATTTCACATTTAGATAAACACCCTAGCATTACGATAAATAACACAGTAAAATAAGAAGGAAATAGGAAAATTTATTCCATTTAGTGCTGTTTGCTTCCTAATGCCATCCTCAGTTTTCTGAAACACCAAATTTGTCAACCACACACCTACGAACGCAAACAGCTGAATTCCACTCCCCTGCACTAAATGGCGTGAGATGGATGTGAACAGGGACGGAGCTGGGCTCAGTGGAGAGCAAAGAAGTGCAGAACAGTGTACTGCAAAATTAAGACTGAAGTAACTTGAAGCTCATTATGAGACAGCAATTCATTATCAGATTTGTCTGTTTCATTAACTTACTTAAAGCACTCAAACTGTGTAATTACTTTTAACTGACAGTCATAAAACCACTTGATTAGGGGCTTTCTAGCCATTAAAACTAACTGTTGTGCATAGGTATGTAGAATTATTTATTTATTCTGGTGCATGCACTTACGAGGTGTGAGTGCTGGCCACCAATCTTTGCTTGGATTCTGGTATCAAGAAGGAGCTCTTCCTAAGTACTTGTGAGAAAGTGTAGCTATAATGCAGAAAAATGTACATGCTCCATCTCTACCACCAATCTTTTGAAGTCCACACAAGGTGGAACAGAAGGTGGTTTTTCTGTAGAAAAGAAAGAAGCTTTAACTCTAGATAATATCTTTTTCAGTGAATGATCATCACTGTTCAATGATAAGGGAAAAAGGAGCCCTGGTATTAATCTCCTTTACTCTTCCACGTTAAGTAGTCCAGTCACACATTTTAATTAGAGCAGAATTTTGATTTAAAAACATCCTGGGGTTGACTTTTGGTGTTTAATTTCCTTATAGCAGGCATGTAGACATCTAAAGATTTTCATAGCTACTTAATGTGATTTCATTGACAGGTAAGTGTCTAATGTAATTAGACTCTTCAGAAAAATCAGGTTTTTCTATTTGATCCTTCCAGCAACACACTAAACTAAATGAAGTGCTTTATAACCCTGCAGAAGTTGCAGTCCCGGTGATGGACTGAAAAACCCCTCTGGAGCATGAAAGAAATGTCCGTGTCCGTGCCTGGTGTTTCAGGCCCCAAGGGCAGGGGGGTGTTTATTTATTTCACCTCAAGCTAACTAACTGACAATCGACCTGCTTTTATATATTTGTATTTTAAACGTTGGTCTAGAACTCTTCAAGCTTTAATTTGCTGGTAAGTTAATTTTTGTTCTAGTAAAAATTTCCAGTAAAGCTGCCAGGGCACTGGGGGAAATGGAAAATTAGGCCACATCTTATTAGATATATTTAATACTGAGCATGTGAATGATCTGTGGGACAACTTAAACATTAAAATTTGCATATCTGTGTATTCAGGATGACAGCTCTTGGTGATTATCAAGGTCAGTTTTTCTAGCTTTAGCTACTATGCCTGACTGTAATAACTCTTTCTGAAAGCCTTTTACTGTGATCCTCCACAGTGATTGTTTTGCTAACTTTTCAAAGCACTGTCTTTACTGTACTCTCCCTTTTCTGCTTG